AAGAATTCACAGTGGTAAAGTAAGAGCAACAATAAATTAACCTTGCACCAAACAAGAATAAAATCCTAAGGAAGTCATAAAATTCTGAAAGAGACTCCCATGACAGATTTCGGTATAGTCAATGGGTTCCTCAGCAAAGCACGGTCTAGTCCCCACTGGATCCTAGAAATCCAGGGAGGAGGGGATGTGGATGGGGATGGGCCAAGCCCATCCAATACTCAAGACTGTAGAATTCAATCACATCAGAAAAAAACCAAACAAAAAACAAAACAAATCCAAAACCCCCACCAAAGCCCCTGAAAATTAAGGAATTAGCAATATTCACTCAATTCAGAACAGTTCCTCACACTACACAGAGTTTCTACAAAGTCTGAACAGAGCAACACTTAGACATCACATTTCAATGTTTTTATTTAAATACAGAAGCTCCAATATTACTCTGAACTTGTGCCTTAAAATTCTACAGTGCATTAAAAATATGATTAATACACACAACATGCCATGCTCCTGATGCCAAAGCAATATATGTAGTTAAATTTTAGGTTAGCTTGTTGTCTTAGAGATGCCTGCATTGCTTTCTCTGATAAACACACAGCAAAGACAAAATCTTAGGCACCGTGATAGTTTTAAAGATAGTAACTCAAGGGTTTTGGATTCTGCCAAGGCAGAATCAGTACTGCCAAATGCACAGAGCTCAGGGCATCCAAACAAACACTGTTTATAGGACACCACTATGGCAATGTAACAGTCCAAAGCTGCTAATAATTTGCCTCCTCTTTCATCAAATGCTGGGCCCATCTTCTGTTTCCCAAATTGTATCAGGTTGTCATTCCTGTTACTCTTCAACAGGTGCAAAAGATGAACATACAAAATACCAACAACCTGCTGCATTTCAGAAATTTCCTTTCCTTCCTGATTTAGAATTTTATTTTCTGCTCTAAGTCATGATCAAACTGCTGCAAATTGCTCCCCCGTTTCAGTGCTAACACAAATTGTCCAGGTTATGCAGTATACACCTTTCCCATCAAACAAACATGATCAATTCAAGATCAAAGACAAGCTCTAACATACAGTCCAACTTCTCTTACGAACTCAGCCCCCTTCTTCACAACCACCAAAACCTTCACAACGTGCCAGGATCAAGCATCTCTTACTTTTCACACTTGAATCCTTGAATCCTTCTGGCTCAAAGGAACAAAGAATTTAGCCCAAGGAGTCGGAGATAAAGCCCTTTCCTCAGAAAAATACTTCAGGAGAGCAGAGACCCACACCAGACTCAAATAAAACCCTTTAGGTATTGCTGGATTTTTACCTGTAATGTTCCAGACAAAGGCTACGTGAAATCTGTCAGAGACATCGCATCACAGGCGCGGCCTGTCCGGGAAGCAGGCGCCAGACAGGGCACAGCGATGTGTAAGGCTACTTACTGAGCACTGCTGGGCCCCCTAAAGGTGCAAACAGGAAAACACGCTACCCCTGCATCGTACCGGGTCAGAACGTAGCACGAGAGCGCAACCCAAGGGAATCACTCAAAATAACAATTATTTAACAGGAAAACTCAGAAGAGCTACCTGCAGCGGCGGCCTCCCCGGGGCCCGTCCGGCACCGCCTCACCGCCTCCCACCTGCGAGTCCCGCACACGGACACGACCCCCTCCCGCCGCCGCCCCACCCCGAGCCCGGCGGCACGGGCGCGGCCGAGCCGGCCCGCGGAGCACCACGGCAGGCCCCCACACGCGGCGGAGGAAGGGGTGGAGGGCGCCGGGACAGGGACGGGAAGGGAAGGGCCGGGAACAGACGCGGCTCCCGCAGCCGCGGCCGGTCCGGCAGCGCCGCTTCCGCCCACGTGACGGCGGCGGCTGGGCGGCCGCGCAGCGCCCCCTGGCGTTGGAGGTGTGGGGAGATCGCGGAATTTCAAATAACGGTGTCCGCCTCTGACCGCCTGGTGTAATTCGATTTGGCCAGGACAGCAGCAGGACTAATGTAACTTCATAGAATCATCAAGGTTGGAAGAGCCCTTCAAGATCAACCAGTCCAACCGTCCACCCATCACTGCCACTGTAACCCCAAACCATTAACCCGTAATACCCAGAGCTAGAAGGCTCTTAAACACCTCCAGCAATAGTGCCTCCACCACCTCCTTGGGCAACCTATCCCAATGCCTGACCATCCTAACAGTGAAAATTTGTTTTCTGATATCTAGTCTGAATCCACTGTCTCAGCTTAAGGCTGTTTCCTCTGGTCCTCTCACTGCAGGCACGGCAGAACAGACCGGCCCCCACCTCACCACAACCTCCTTTCAGGTAGTTGTGGATGGAGTATGATGAGATTCCCCTTGAGCCTCCTCTTCTCTAGACTAAATAAACACATTCCCTCAGCTGTTCCTTATAAGACTTGTTTTCTACACCCTTTGGAAACCTTGTTGCCCTTGTCTGAACATGCTCCAGCACTTCGATGTCTTTGTTACAGTGATGTGCCCAGAACTGAACACCAAGGTGTGGCCTCACCAATGCCCAGTACAGGGGATGATCACTGCCCTGGTCCTGCTGGCCTTGCTATTTCTGATACAGGATGCCATTGGCTTTCTTGGCCACCTGGGCACATTTTTGGCTCATGTTCATTCAGCTCATATTCGTATCCTGTGATATGAATGAGCAGCATTCAGACTTTGGCTTTGCCCCAGGCAGAAACACCAGTAGTAATTGATAGTCTTTGATGTCCATGATAATCCAGACAGTACTCTCTGACTAGTGATCATGAAATTTAGGATTTGGCATCTAACCGTGAGAAATGATGTACCAATCTGGCTGTAGCTACTTGTAGCCACTGCTGAATTCTGTGAAAACTGGAGCTACCTTCCAGTTCAAACTTTGCTGTGAAGGAGGTTCTCTACAGGATCGATACACTTAACTAATTTTTAATATCATTAATGTAAGTTAATAATACGGTATTTCTTCAATACTTGCATGCAGAGTTAAGGATAGCATAATTACAGATTACTTGAACTGTATGATTTATTCACATTAATACATCAGTATGCCTTCAGTGTATCACTGATAAAATGTATTTGCCAGGCCACGACCAATAAAGAACAACAGAAAACATCTTTTCCAAGGGTTTGTTATAAATTGCCAATATGTGGACTTATAACATTTAAAACTGGGATTTTGTAGTTCCTGTATCATTTTTCACTTGACTGAAAGCATTGAGATTAGCTCAGATGTTTAGTTGGTTAGAGCATGGTGCTAATAACACCAAGGTGGTGGGTTTGATCTCCATACAGGCCATTCACTTGGGAGTTAGACTCAATGATCTTTGTGGGTCCCTCCCAGCTCAGATTCTGTGATTAAATATGACTGACCAATTAAGTCTTGCTGAATGTACTTTTATTTTCCTACTTACATAATGACATACTGTATAATTTTATAATATACCATTTATAAGGGCCAAGGTTAAAATAAAAGTTATAATTTGGTAATTTCTCAATTCAACCACAAAATGTAACTGTCTCTGGCTAGGTATACAAAGACTGGACAGGCAGACATAAAATATTGGACAAGGTTTCATAAAGCTGTTGTTATTAGGCAGAACTCTCTAGTTTCCTGTCTCTAGCTGTTAATTATGCTAGAATAAAAACGAAACCACACCAAAATGCAGTTTCTAATGGTAAAATGTGTTTACAAATTAAAACTGACATGAGATAACCTTCCAGGATGCACAGTGCCATCCTCTACCCTTCTACTTCAGCTTCCCACAGATGCTCTTTAGAAAGGGCCTTTGATCTTACGACAGTGACTTTAAGACAAAATATTCTTAAATTACATATTTAAAATTACATAATACAATCCCTTGCTTTACTAGAAAAATATTTATATGCTGAAAGTGACTGAACCTATTGGGAAATAGGTAGATGACAGGGAAAGCAGTATAGTCTTGTGTTGGAAAGAGGTGTATTACTATATGTATGACTCCAAAACACAAAGCAGAAGAAGAATGAGAAATAACAAAAAAAACACAGTCCAGAACAGGCACTCTGCTCTGTTTCACTTCCAAAATTATTTTTAAAATTCTGTATTTGCCTAATTTAAGATGTAGGAAATTATTAGTTATCCATGAAAGATAATCACACAGGAGAAGAGTACTTCTGCTTTAAATAAATAAAATTAAATAAACTCTTTTGTCATAGGTTTTTTTTTAATTCTGATGTTGGTTAAAGAGTTTTAAAAAATACATATAGGAAAAAACATGATCTGTCTTTATGATAGCCTTTTTGCCTCTTCTGTGATGCTTATGATCACTCTTCTTCATTTTCAGGCTGCTACATATTTTCTTTTCTCTGTAACAGATATGGCTGATAGCAATTCCCATCTTCTGAAGAAAATCTGCATTATAACCACAATCTCAAGTATTAATTCACTCCATCATGTAGCTGAAACCTTTTATAAGAATGCAACAGATTTATTTATTCACAAGAGTTTGTTCCTATTCAATTTTGGAGAAGACTTCCAGGAGAACTAGATAAACCCCTGATACTGTATTTCAAACTACATTCTACTTATCCAAGATCAGGAAATGATGCAGGAAATAACTCTGCATTAACTTAAGGATGGACTATTTAGCCTGTCAGGTCTTTTCCATTTATAACAGCATATGCTCTGTGTCCTGTGGTGCAGCTGTGCTATACTCACCACAAAGTGACTGTCTCCAGCACCTCAAGACAGACTTTCCACATTGTGATCAGGCAATTATACGGTGTCTTGGTACTTGACATCTTACAAAGATGTTCACACAAAGAACTGTGTAAAACTAAGGAGTCCCTAGATTAGGCCCCTGAAGATCTTTTAAAGTATTTTTCCTTTAGATAGTAACTGAAATAATTGACAGGGACAATGTACATTTTTTAACTTTCCTTCAGTTTAGTCTGATTACTTAGTGAAGCATGTCTGAAATACTATGTTATTAGACAGAAGAAATGCCAGACAGACTTTAATTGCATATTATTCCACATAAAATGCAGGCTTATTTGCCTTCTAATATAGTCAATTTACTGTTTATACGGTACAAGAATAAAAATATATAAACTACCAAAGAAAGTCCATTAAATGTGCCTGAACATTATAGTAATTTTTTAGCTATCATCAGTTTCTAACATGATACAGACAATTATTGGGTCAGGAATTCACTATATATGTACTTTATTTCAGAAGAGTGATCTGAAGTGCTCATTTTTAGAGGTTCTATGTCTTTATTACAATTATGAGATGAATGATGGAAGCTTTTCTACCCAGAAAACATTTCCTTGTGCCTATTAAGCAAAGAATTTATACACATTACAGAAAACATTGTGATCTCAACAATTAACACATGGTTCAAACAAGACAATGTATCAGGGATAGCAGTAGCATGAATTATACTTGCTATTGAAGATGATTTTGTGGAACCTGGATGTTAGGCAAATACTTCTTGTAGCTAATAATCAAATGTCACAACACACATACTGGCAATGGATTACCCCAAAGACATTCTCAAAAGAACAACTGATTTTCACAAACAATAACTAGAAATACAATCCTTCTCTTTAACAGTATGTAGGTGGCAAATTTAAGACTTAAGTTCTTACAAGTTCCAGAGGATGTGTTACCCGCATAAATTGCCCTCACAACTGTCATGATATACATAATTACTAAGATTTGTGTTAGAATGCATGTAATTTGCAACATGTACCTAGAATAAATATATAACTTCTGAAGATTAGCTAATCAAAGGTATGGCCTTTCCTATATACACGCAATAGGGTAACATTTTAAAAGTGGAAAGCTGTACATGTTACAGTTTTTCAAATATATTCTCAATTATTGGATGTTATTTTAATTTTGAATCCAAAGTACATTTGCACAAATGTTTTCAAAGCTGGGAGTTCATGTGAAAGACAACAGCAAAGTACAAGTCACAGTACCCTTGTGTGACTATCCAGTTGTACAGATGGCAGGTGCTGAGAGGGAACATGAAGCAGCCTCTGGTTTCCTAGGAGCTGTCATCAGTCAGCTTTAGGTCCACACCTGGTTTAGTCCACAGCTAGCCTTCCTATACTCTCTTGGCTGCCAAACAAAAAGTGATTTTCTCCTGCAGGATGTTTTGACCAGAAGCTTCTCTGAAAGTCCTTCTGGGTTGGCATTTCTTTATTGATTATGGGATGAACAGCCAACTAGCATGGCTGACTGACACCAGGCAGTATCACTGTGCTTCTTACTATTAACATTGTTCCCCTTCAGCTCCTGCTTCCGTACAGCTTCAATTCATCCTCTGTTTCTACTGTAATATACTACTATCACAAGTCTAGCTGTAACTTTTTATGAGATGTTCCAAACATTCAAGTAGGCTCCAGCCCATTGTAAATGTAACTCTAAGTAGTGCACTGAATATGCTAACATTAGCTAAAAACTGGTGAAAAAAACTCTCATAATTCTATGAATTTTGAAAGGTCTATCACTTTCCTACAAAGTAAGTGTAGTAGCCAACAACTATTGTTTACATAGTACTTTGTTATCTCTTGGACCAGAGGCAGAGACATAAACAGTTTCTGCTCCTTAACCTTGCCTGTTTATAAGCACTGAAGTGCTAGAAAGGAGACTTTAATGATACAAAAGTTCTGAAAGGTGTGACAAATAAAGCAATGCTGCTTAAGAACATTTATTATCTAGGACAGTACCACAAATGTGAAGGCCAAAGGGCACACTAAATGTTCTGTAGGAAATATAATATAGCTGCATAGGTAAAAAGTTGGTCCCATGGTACCTAAATGCAATACTCCGATTCATCAGGATGAGGGTTGGATTCTTATATGGATGTAGGTATGATTTCTTTAATGGAGTTCTGCATTTTGAAAATGGAAATGTGCATCATTCTTATACAGACCTCAATTGGTTGCTTTCTTTTTTCTACTTCTAGGATATAAATTAACTGTTTATGCTCTTAATGCTGTAAAATGATTTCAGCTATTAATGAAAGATAATCTATACCTCCATGAATATATGAGCAAATGCTGAACTCTACTTACAAAAGCAATCACTAGTGACCATGAGAATTACTGGTTCTACCTTGTGAGTCTCATGTATTTGTAAGTATTTGTTAGAGTGAGGCCCTCCCAATATATATAAATGGTCAATTGTTTATGTAAAAAGTACGCTCCATTTTTTACTTACATGAAAACTTAAAAAGCAGATACTGCATATCACTTACTATCTTTTTGATCAGATGGTATATGAAATGCTGGTCAGTGAAAGTCAACCAGTCACCTTAATGCTAGAAAATGCATCTTCAGGACAAAGGGCACAGGGAGAGACATAAAAGGTTGGAAGCATAGAAGCACATCCTCATAACTACTAAGCAATCCCTATTACTGGATGACCAGACTGAATCATCATTTAGGTAGGTGTCATCAAAGTTCACAATCTTCAAGTCCTTCTTAAGGTACATTGCATTCAGATTGCTTAGTGTTCGAGCAAAGGTATATTTAGATGCACAACTATATGCTTCCATATTGTAGACCTTGTGGAAGTGCATATCAAAATATGGATTATCCTAAAAAAAAAAAAAGGAATAAAATTGAGAGATAGAGAAATGATTATATGCATTACAGTGTTAAAATGATAATCTGTTGTTCTCTGCTCAGCTACCTGCAGGGCTTTTTCTCTGATGGGCTCTAAAGTACTTTGCATATTTCTGCTATTCATCTTAAGTGGTCTTTTATACCTTTAAAAAGCAGTAGCATAAAATTAGATGTAATTCTTTGCCATTGGGAAATTTGTGTGAGTAAAACTTTCAAAGTTTATTCAACCAATATGCTGCCGTTTATTGAGATTATACAATCTTGTTTTGAAATAAACTGATTTGTCACGTTGCCTAAAACACACTATATGAAAAGCACTTGCCTTAGACTATAACTATATATGTCTGTCAGAAGAATAATATTGATTGGCCCTTTCTGCCTTAATTGTATTTCTTTGTGCTTTCTGGTTCTTTGGCACAATTAATTAATTTAGCAGCAGCTAAGTTCTGCTAAATTCCATGGATACGAATACCTATTATGAACATTTATAGCAGTGTTAATCACCCTACAATTATGAGTTTGAGGTTCATTTAGGCTTTTCTTTAACTAAAAATGAGACAGATTTTGATCATCCAAGTTGTGAAAGGCTGGATCATCTCTGAGGAATATTTTAGCAAAACACTTCAAAAAAAAAAAAGGTTAAATACATGCAGCAAGTGATAAGGAAATCCTCTGGCTGCCTTTGGCTGGGCAAAGGACAGGAACATTTTCAGGAGCAAGATAACTTGGAGAGGGGATGTAAAGGATTCTTAGTTTTGTCTTTTTTTCCCTTCTGGCCTAAACTGCTAAGAGCTCACAGGGTGCGGGGGTACTCTGAAGCAGAGTTCACCTCTTCTGTCTCCCACATTCCTCTTTTTAGCCTTGAGGACCATGTGCACAGGACAGAATGAGAACAACCGCAGTTTGTCATTTTCCTTGGAATAAGGCTCTGAAACATTTCTCGTGGGGCTCTTGATTTCTGTTTCATTAGCTTTATGGAATCTGAATCTATTTCACATTCACTTGAAAGCGTTTTCAAAGGGGAAAAAGTAATTTTTTCCTGGACTACATTTATTATACACAGACAACTGTTAAATTCACACATATAAAGAAGATATTCTCCTCTTCTTCTAGCTTTGTAAAATTAGATTTAATTCTATTTTTGGAGTTGTTATGTATTGTACTACTGCAGTCTCATTTTATCCTTCTGGAGCTGTATCTGAGAGATTAGGACTTTTTTAGCAGCAAGGTCAGCCTGATCTAGCCAAAACTGTTTCATATTTACACACACAAATAGACAAATACTGAATTGATTCAAGTAACCTGAGACTAAGCTGTGTTAAAGACACAATTTTGTGAACTGCTACATCAAACAATGTACTTGTATGGTATTTTACACGTTGACTTTGTCACACAGAGACCAGGTTCAAAAATTTAAATGAGAGGGTGACAGTCCCCATAGAAATATTTAACAAAATTTTGTTTTCAAATACACTTTAAAATCTATGGGATTAACTGCAGTTTACACTGGGAGCTGCAGGTGGAGAACTTTTATTGCCAGTTTTAATTAACAAATTAGAAAACGACCAGCTTCTACCTCAGGTCTCAGCCAGAGAGATAAAGATGATCACAATAAACACAAAAATCTCTCCTTCCTCTCCCCTTGCAACAGTGAAAATGTGATGTGGAGCCTCTCACATGCAATAAAACAAAAATTCCTTGGTACCATAACTTTATTTTTCAGATAATGCATTTTAATAATTTTGTCCTAAATTGCAACACAAGAAAATTATACTCTATGTATTTAATAGTACATAACACTTACAGTATCTGCTTCTTTTCCATCAATCATCTCCAGATCTTTCAAAAACCACTTTTCAACTATTTCATATTTCTCCTCTCGATTCACTCGCCAGTGTTTCACCATACATATTTCTACTTCTTTACTTGTAGTCACTGCAAGAAAAAAAATAGTTTAGATACGCAGGCAAGTACTTATGCAAAGTTCTGACAATAGAAGGCTTAATTAAACTACATTTTAGATAGTAACTTTAAATCGTGACAGGCAGGGCTGTATAGGCTTATACTGACTTAACAGTTTTATTTTGCCCACGTAGTAGAAATAGCACCATGTTTTCAGTCTTTTAGTAGATCTAGAGTTTACCTTACCCAGCCTGTGAAGAGAGCCTTGTCTGTTCAAAAGCCTTTCATGTAAATTCACTAGCAGTGCCAAGAAAGCCTAGTTCTGGCACTGGATCTGCACTTATGGTTTGAGAGGCAGTCTTTTTGGGGTGCTGCAGTCAGAAAACTGCAAAACTTCTACCAAGGCTCTGTATTTACATGACTTGTGCTACACTTTCCGTTCTGTAGAGGAAGGTCTCTTGTGTAGCCATTACTTTTTTAAAGCAAAACTCTTATTTCTCTATAATATGTAATAAGGCCACTTTACAAAAATAGCATTTAAAAATTTTCTTAAAGCTTCAGGTTGTCCAGTGCTGACTTTATAGAAATTACTATTTTCCAACATAGGGAGGAAATTAGATTAAAAAGAACGCGAAGACACTCTGTGCAGTAACTACCATGATTAATTGATTACATTGAGTGCTGTGTAGGAGACTGGATTTCCGTAACACACAATGATGAGTGTGAAAAGCACCAGAGCCTGAACAATCTCCTGCACATCCAGCTGCTGATGGCTGCAGGGCAGCAGACATCCCCAAGCCATCTGGTAGCCTAAGTTAAGGGCGAGATGTCACCTATGTCTAGCAGGAGCATTTCGACACCATAGCACAAGGCTAGAAACACAGGAACAAAATTCTTTTATTTCTAAATATTACCTGAATTTTTGAAAACCCGTTTTGAAACTTGACTATTTTTATCTTACTCTTGTTAAAACTTCTCTTGCTTCTCACCTGCTTATAAGAAAATGGTTATTAAATAAAGACAAACAAAGGATGTATGTTGGAGATATGCCTTCTCTCCACTGAAAAGAAAAACAGTGGAAAATATATAAATTGATTATAATTTCTCTCAGTCTATAGCTTCCCTGCCTGGGAAATACAAATCAGTCTTGCTTTTTTTCCTAGCCCTATCAAAGCAGAGTTTTTGAAGGTTTTTTATTAAGGAAAAAAAAAAAAACAAACCCAAAACAAAACAAAACCAAAAGACCACCACTGTGGTGGATAAGTTAAAATCATTTTCATTTGCAAGCAAATCTAATAGAGTAATCTTAGGAAGTTCTCTTCATACTTTCAATTTCTCCCAGTTTTTTTGTTGGTTGGAAATATATTGTCTTCCTCAGAGTTAAAACAAAAGGAAACAAGCCCAAGCCCAAAAGCCCCCAGTCCTGCCAGTAACACAAAGGGATGTCCTAGTGGACCCCAGGTCCCCCACATTGCCACTGCTCTACCTCTCAGACAACAGAAATCCTATGACATTAGGACAGAGCACAGATGTGTTAGGAATAATGAAACCAGGAGCTTGTCCTGCCCAGTGGTGAAATTTGGGTGGACTAGTTTCAATTAAAAATAATTTTACTTTTCCTATATTGTACATATTGCTTGTTCTTGCACTCTGTTAAAAGAGTCAAAGAAAAAAAATATATAGAACATGAGCTCAGATCTACCATGTCAGTCTATTAAGTTCTAAAAGCTTTTCTTGAGGAGGGCACAGCTATGGCAATGCCTTCATAGAGCACAAACTATTTCTTAAAGTCTTCCATGGACTAGACACCTTTTTCAGAGTATCTGTTGGACAATACAATGCTATTCCTACCATTCTTTCTCGGGCATACCAATACTGGGTTGTGAAAACCCCTGAATGGGTTTGCATTTCAGCCTTATGTTCTTCTGGGGTTTATGAAACTTTCAGTGAAAGGATACTATTACCTTCACACAAGAGCTGGGACTTGCTGTTGTGAAAAGGAAAGGAAATAATGTTGGCACAAAAATGAGATTCTTCAGTTACCCACACCAGGATTTTGTTGTAATACAGATTTCAAAATGACCTCTGAAGTTTTGCCTATAGCTTGACTGATTTTTTTTTTTTTTTTTTTTTTGCTATGGTAATTTGAAATGAACAGGAATACACAGAGGTTGCATTGCAGGGATAGGTTTTAAGATAATGTGTTTTGCTCCTACAGAATCACAGTGGAATACAGTAGCTGCTGGCAGCCAGATGCAACCCATCTTTCAGAATCAGATTTCCATTCTACTCACCGCTTACTTGACTGTGCCTGTATATAATAAGAGACTTTAATATTGACTACTGGAGAGATCCCACTCTTAATACTCTACATAAATTTTCCTTCATGTCTTTAAAGACTTCCAATCAGTTAATCTGATTAGAGGCTTTCTTTAATGGCTTCTTCTCTTCTACCTTAAACTGAAGCTTTTAGTAAAGGTTTTAAAGGTGCATAATGTTATTTCTCCTCTTTGGATGTTTCACAGCAGTGAAATATTTAGATTTACTACATGCAGCTAACCATACTTCTGCTGGACTGTTTCATAAACTATGAGTGAGGATGGTATTTCTGTACGTTTAGAAGCTCTATGATATTCCAGAATTCATTTCTTAAAACTATTTTTACAGTTCTAAAACACAAAGCATGTTCTACCAACATTATGGGAGTACAGGGAACATAGCTTGCTCAGTATTTCTGATAATCTGTAAGACAACTTATATATTCTAAGGACATAAGGTGTTTAGAAAGATAGTGATCACAGAATACCGGATACTACCCCAATCTATGTCTTGAGTACACAGATTGTTTCTACCTGTTACATATTTTGAACTTGAAGAAGAAAGAGATGGGAAGAATCATTCACTTCAGCCTAACTACTTACAGAGGACATAATTTCTGGTTTTGAGTATCTTCCAGTGTTCTGAAACAAAAATTTAAAAAAGCACTCAAAGAAACAAACAAAAAACCCCAATAAACCAGTTTGTCTGAAACCTTGTTCTAATACCTCTATAAAACAGGTTCCCTTGGAATAAAAATTTAGGAAGTAGCCAGATAATTACCACTCATAGCAATCTTGTTTTACTCACAGTTTGTCCTAATTGCTAACTCTAAAGTGTATTTACTTAAACCACAAGTCTAGTTTGTTGCTCCTGATGTAATTGGGACAGTATGTAGAACATTAGACCAAGATGGGGGAAAGCGTAAAAGCTTTTAAAATGACAAATATTTCCTGCAATGTTAATGCATTGTTACTCTTTCCTACGCAAACCCGATTAAACTATAGCAAGGGTTTGCTCTTTTCGGAGCAGATCAGACGCTCACAGCACTGCCACGGATTGCTTACTGCCACCAATTGTCCTGCAAGAGTCACGTTTCTCCGCTGATGTCAAACCTCGAGCCCGTGTGAACCAGAAACCGGAGCCAAGGCCGTTTCGGGGGTTGCTGGCGATGCGGAGGCAGCGAGCTCGGCTCCGTGCCCTGCTGGGGAGCGGTGGGGCGGGACGCGGCGGCGGCCGCACCCCGACGAGGCGCTGCCCGCTCCGTCCCGGCGGGCGCCCCCGCTCCCTCTCCCGCCCAGGTACGCGCACTCTGCGTCCCCACGCACCCACCCGCGCCCGCCTCCCCTCGCAGACCCACTCGCGCCCGGCAGCTGCCCCCTCACCTGCGGCGCACAGGTAGTAGCGCTGGGCACCCGCGCCCTCCACCTCTATGAACTCGTGCAGCCTCTGCCGCCGGGGGCCGAACAGCCTCTTCGCCAGGTCCTCCTTCACCAGCGAGGACATGGCACCCGCGGAGCCTCTCAGCGGCGGGCGCTGTGCCCCCGCGCCCCGCAGCCTCCGCGCCGCGCCGGGCACCCGCGGCGCTCCCAGGCGGGAGCTGCACCCCGGCCGCGCCGGGCCGCGGGGCGCGGGGGGGGCATGGTCGGCACAGACCCCCGCGGGCACCGCTCCCGCACGGACAGCTCTCCGCACCGCCGGGGCACCCCCGTTAAAGCTCCGGCCGCCGGCGCCGGGGGAGGCAGGTCCGCGCATCTCCCCGCCCCGCGCCCGCCCTCCCTCCGTGTGCCAGCGGGACGCTCCCACCGGAGGGGTCCGGGACAGGCTGCGCGGCCCCGACGGTGTCACAGTGAGGTCCCGGTAGAGATGCAATCGAGGTACCCGCCCGGTCTGTCCCCCGGCCAGGGGGAGGAGGAGGACGAGAGAACGAGCGAGGAAGGGACGCAAAGCAATCACGCTAAAGGCAGTTTACCGAAAAAGAGAATTGTCAGCGCAATTTTTTTTATCAGTGGATAAAAGAGTTGGTGGAATTTGTAAAGGAATTAGATAGCCTTATGGCTGTCACCACTGTTCGTACACTAATATTATGAGTGTTAATAGCGTTAAGGGGGAAATTACCTTATACCTTATATACTCCTTATAAACGGAAAGTGAAATCATCTCCAGAGGAGTCTCAGAGGGCAGGTGCAAACTGGGCACCAGGGGAAACTACCATCCCCAGAACTTTTACATGTGTGAGTGCCCTTTCACATCAGACATGAGTATATTTGCAGAAATTTTGGTTGTTCCTGCCACTCTGAAAATGTGTGAGTGAAGTTTTTGGAGGCAGGTGTTCTTCTAATTTCAGTATCCATGGTAGCCTGTGTTAGAGTTTTCCTTTTGGACTCATTTCTGGCTGCTACTAGAAGCTAGATGTCCTCTTCTATTCTTGTCCTCAAGCTTGGTATGTCTGAAGACCTTATTGAGTTTCTCATTCTTATGGTTTCAATGCAACTTAGAAAGGAATATAACCTGGACACGAGGAGCACTGCCCCACACCACAGACTCTGGAGCCCCTAACCCAGCTTCAGAGCGGCCAGTGGGCCAGAAGTCTCACCTGGGGTGGAAGGTGGTGGAATGGCCACAGGGGGCAAAAGCAAATAAAACCAACACCATCAGGTGTCCACATTGTCACGACCCTACTGTCTGGACATGTGGAAGCTGGAATTGCATGGGACTTCAAGAGGTAGCTATAATTCTCTTTTTTCTCTCTCTTTCTTTATTTCTTCTTCTTCTCCTAATCTCCTTTCTTGATATTTGGGTAACTTAAAGCTAGATGGGTTGGATTTTGCTAAGTTGTATGGGTTAGTATGTGCTAAGTCAATGCTTTGTGCAATGCTTTATTTTGGTTGCCCTTTAAACTTTTGCCAAGTTCCCTTAATTTTTAAAGTTTGCCAGCAAAAGTGTGTTATTTGACATCCTAAGAAATGTGTGCAGTGTGTTCTGCTGTGCGCTCTTTCAAGATATAAAAAGAACTGAAGGCTCTTTTAATAAATCTGGTGGGCAGATTTTTGGAGCCTTGTATATTTTTAACATAAAACCCCTTTGATAAGCCTGTAGCGTGAGCCTGAGGTCTTATACCTGACCATGCCTTGAATATGGGACTGGTGTACAAATTGGCTTGCAGTTTATGGTCCCTATTGTTCTGCCAGGCATTGGCAGAACTGTCAAGACTCATGCCTTCAGTTCGTCACCACTAGTGTTAATAGTGCCATGGCTGGAGGTTTCAGTGTTCATGCTCAGTGCCAGAGTCCTCATTAGGAAGCTGACTATGACTCAGCCAATCTGTAGCTTATGTTGCATTTCAGATGCTTGAATTTTTTTTTTTTTTTTTTTTTGCAGTTGTGAAGCAAGAAAATTACAGACAAAAGTACCCTCAGAAAAATATCTTCAGCTCTGGAAGAACTTTCAATCAGTTTTTCCCTTGTTATACCCAGCTGGTACTGGAGAAACTGCCTACATGGCAATGAGACATCACTAGTATCATGGAAGTGATGGAGCTGAGACAAAAGTGGTGTGTGGATCTGTTCTCTCTTGAGTCAGATTTTTGTTTTTCACAGTTTGATCAAACTTTAAGTCATTCTCCCTCCATTTTCATAGGACTGTTTTGTGGTTTGATATATTAATACTCTTAGACTTAGACTTTTTTCTTTTTGGATGTTCTTGCACATTAATATTGTGCCACTGGTCACTAGTACATGGCTAGTAGAAATGTGTACATTAACAGAGCTTTACATTGAAAGCCATGACTTCATTTAGGTGAGGCTTTAGGGCTGAGTAGTCTGAGCAGTACTAATGAATATTCGGCTGCACCTCCACCTCCTACTTTCCCCTGTCCATGCCTACTTAGATTTCCCTTTATGCAAAGAATGATGCCTGCATAGTGACTTGAGCATCTGTTGTGTGTGCTGGATAAGTGTTCAAATTGTATTTTAAAGATTATTATAGAGATTAAATTACTTTGCAATGTCCTTTATTGCATTCTTAAAGGATACATTAACCAACCTATCTGAGTAAATTGGTAGAAAATGGTGATTTTCACGTAGAATGTTTTAATAGGAAACTGAAAAAATTGTAATTCATTGTTGCTCTTCATTTTTTTGATTCTTTATTCACCCATCCTCTATTACAACATATTTGAGATCCACCTTAGCTACAATAGTGTAAGCACAAATCCCAACAGTCTGAAAGGCAACAGTTGGGTAGTAATTTACCCAGCCAGCAAGGATACAGTAACCCTAGACTGGATTTAGCTTCTCATTCTGGCACTCAGTGTCCCTGCCAGCCACCCCTACCTCAACTAATCCCACCTATGAATGTGAATCATATAGACATAAACCAGAACAAATTAACCTCATTGTTACCAGGACCACAAACAACTTTTTATCCAAATTTAACTGGGATTTACTCTTAACTGTCCACATAGATGAATTATAGATGATTGTGAAAGCTACACAACCCCTAACCAAGGCTCACAGGGAAGGAAGACTAAAGGTCTGCAACATAAAGTAGTCACCAGGGGAGTGTCTTGGACCTTTCTGCTAAATATTAATTACTTCTGCTCCTTCTCTTGGCCTTCAAAATTTTTCCAATGTTGAAATAGTTTTCTTTACTGTACCCAGGACATTAACAGATATAGTAGCAGGTCCTAAAAGGATTAATCTCTTTAATCTTTATTGTTTCTCAGTCACACTTGTGGTAAAAATCAATTCACCAGCTTTAGGAACTGTATTTATGGTGGGTCCCTGTATTCCTTTGGGTCTACTAATGAACATTAGTATATGCATGTAACTTGATTACTTGAGGCTCGATCCAAAGCCCATTAAGTCAATAGCAAAATTTTCTTTGATTTTGGTGGGCTTCAGAGTAGTCAATACTGACACAGTAGAACAGTCACCACATTTAGGTGGGACTTCACTGTGTTCTGCATGTTGAAACCCTCCAGAGGATTTGATCTCCCTCCCAGTTCCTGTCAAGATTCATATCCTTACAAAGCAGTGTTTTCTGGAAGCACCTTTCCCATTACTCCTTCTTTGACAATGTTACGAAATAATGGGAAGGAAAATGCAACATAAAGAATAATTTCTCTGAGCTGTAAAGAATCCTTGTAAGCTGAAAAAAAAGTTATAATTTTATTTAAATTATGCTTTAATTTCCTATAGCTGCTGTTTCTGTTTGAGGTGTCAGCCAGGCATGGTTTTCTCTCTTAACACTTAGTTTATCATCTGTAAGTATTCTTCACAGCTTTAGGTCTCCAGGTGACTTTTTTTAACATCACAGATGAGATTTTAGATTATTAACTAGAAATCATAAATCGCATTCTACAAAGCAGTAGAAAGCAGTTTCCAAAACTTACTTCAGAAAACTAGTTCTGAATGATCATCACCTGTTTTTCTCCCTTTGTTACTAACAATTTACTTTTCTCAGGTCTCTTTCCCCACTGACATTTATAGATGATCTGGCTCCTAGTTATGGCTGGTTATTCATGTTTTGGTAGCTATGCCAGTAAAATTATTGGCAGTGAAGCATAAACCTGGTTCAGTTTGTCCTGAAAACTGTTGAAGCAGCAGAGGTAACAGTGTTTCATGCAGAAGTGCTATTCAGTGAGGTACAGCTGGAATCACTCAGTTTTAAAACAGAAGATAGAAATACATGCTGGAGAAGACAGTTGGTTAAAATGCTTTTTGTACAACTACTTTTCTCCTGAGTGTTTTGGAGAACCCATTAAAAGAGTCTCATACTAACCTCAGGATCTATGGGTGCTCAAACAGCCAATGACTCAAAATCTTATCCATTCTGGTAAAGAACACTAAAATCAAAATATGACTCGTGTCTAATGGTATGATGTAATTACTTGGTTTAAAAAAGCAATACTGTTCTCTTTTCTTGGAAGAAAGGAGATAAAAGAGTTTATTTGAGCTTTTATTTAACTGAAGCTCAAATTTGTCAAGTTTATATTGACTTTATACTGGTTTATCATCTTCAAAATATGATCATGGCCTTCACTAGAATAAATGATCCCAGACCATACCAACACTCCATTCAAAGCTTTCCTTTCCTTTTCAATTCAGAAAATACACACGTGTTCTTCATAGAATAGTAACCAGATACTGTTTTATGGATGGAGTTGGAAGAATATTTTGAAACATGACACAAATGAGGTATGAGGTATCCAGTTCTTCTATGAAAAATGTACACATGTTGAATTTTACACATGTATGAGCTAAAAATTAGGGCCTCAATTAAATTCACTTATATGAAAAGATTTTAAGTTCCTGTTCAGCAAGCACCTAATAACACTCTGATGAATTGGAGCCATATTTAATTGATAGTGTAAAATTCTGGCATGATGGATTCAGCACTTTGGTATTCAAATACAACTCATTCAATATCATGCAGTTTTCTTTGTGGAGGTAAAACCCTAAAGATAGGAATAAAGTTAAAAATGTAGTAAAAAAAAGGTTAAAACAAATCCTGTGAGTT